TATTAAAAGAAGCAGAAGAATATAAAAGTCGATGGAAACATGACAACTGCCAGGAAGCACTGAACTAGGAGACCAGTCTCTCCCATTAGCATACTAAAATATATAATAAAGAGAATAATTCAGTACCTTGTAAGATATGCACACACAGAGTCAACATGGGTTTAAAGATGGTAAAATCTTGTCTCATGAATTTCCTGGAGTATTATGACAAGAGTGACGAAGATAAAGCAGGTGAGAAAGTTGGGCATACTGCATCATCCTCGACTGTGATCGTTTGATACAGCACCAAACAAAAGGCTCTGTACAGGCTAGAAAAGCAGGCGAGGATAGCATAGAAAATAATCCAGTGGGCATGAGTGACGTGTGAGGCCCTTCAAAGATAAAAAGAGACAATACAGTGACTGGAACAATACACGAATAACTCCTTTGTGTGGGTTATTTGTGCAGTGTGGCTACTTTATTTCAATCTTGATAGGAGCAAAGTAAAGAAAATAGGATAACTAGCAAGAACTGACAATAAACATTTCCCCGTGCATATCACGTACAGCACATTTAAAAAAATAGTTTTAATGACATTCGCAAGACTACCTAATCTAAAAACTGCTTTAAGGAACCAGAAATAATTAATTTTGGGACACGATGTACAAAACAGGATGACAGCCACCAAATAGAACGAAAGTAACACCTGAAGCATCTGAGTGTAATAATGTCAGCTGATATATCGTTTAGAGAACACAAATGTAGATAATGACAATCTTCTAAACAATAGAAATATTGCCAATAATGACTCAGTTCAAATTGCTTGGTATATCACAGATATAAGAACATAAGAAAGGAGGAACACTGCAGCAGGCCTTTTGGCCCATACTAGGCAGGTCCTTTACAATTCATCCCACTAACAAACATTTGACCAACCCAATTTTCAATGCTACCCAAGAGATAAGCTCTGATGTGCAAGTCCCACTCAAATCCAACCCCTCCCACTCATGTACTTATCCAACCTAAATTTGAAACTACCCAAAGTCCTAGCCTCAATAACCTAACTAGGAAGACTGTTCCACTCATCAACTACCCTATTTCCAAACCAATACTTTCCTATGTCCTTTCTAAATCTTATATACATCGTAGGTTAGGCTTATCTTTAATTATGCGGCGCCAGCATGGAACCAGCAAATAATCAAGCATGTTAAAAACAAGAGAAGATCTAAAGGTTTGCAACGAGATTCGTGCCGGAACTAAGGTGAATAGAGTAGAAGAGAGACCTGAGGAACTCTACTTGAAGAGAGGGGGGGAGGGGGCAAGGAAGACATCATCACGACATACATATTATTCAGCGCATAAGGAGAGCTGTTTAAGATGCGATGAGAGGGAGCCAAGAAACGTAGCAGCTAAAACCGAAGATAAGCCATTGGGACATTGGATAGTACTTTTTCAGTCTTAGGGGTGTAAGTTCAATACAATGGCAATATAAACACAAATGCAGTATAATGTGATCCTTTATTGACTACGTTTCGCCCACACAGTGGGCTTTTTCAAGTCACAAACAGAACTACCTGGGGTGGAAGGAACGCGAGTATTTATAGTCCAGCTGAGGTCAGGTGAAGAATGCTGCATCTGATGATGTACCGAGTTGGGTTGTAGAGTCTAAAAACTTGGGTAGCTTGGAAAGGAGACTGGACAAGTTTGTGAGCAGACCTTCTACAGTGTTCTTATGTGGGATAGCGATGAAGAAGTTTCTTGGCAAGTGGTTCAGCTATGTGTAGAAGCCACTATTCTGGTTGAAGTTGTCGGATATAGAAATAAGTGATGATTCCAGGATTCTTCGGTATTGAGTGTTGTCTTCTGTGGCGATAAGTCTTGAGTTTCTGTAGTTTATCAAGTGGTTGTGTGAATTACGGTGTTGTACGCAGGCATTCCTTGTGTAGTCAGACCTGCTTGCGTATTGGTGTTCTGAAATACGTGTTTGGAGGTCCCTTGATGTTTCGCCCACGTATAACTTGTTGCAGTCATTACAAGGGATTATGTATACCCCTGCAGAGGATGGAGGCTTGTCCTGCCTACTACTGGTGATGTCCTTGATGGTCGTGGTTGTGGAGGTAGATACTTGGAATGATGTTTTGGCAAAGATGTTGGAAACATGTTTGGCAACGGAGTTGGTGGGAAGGACTATGTATCTCTTCTCGGCAGTGTCTTCTCTGGGTGTGTTGAAGATGTTTAGTGCTCGCCGTCTGCAGTCTCTGATGAAGTGACGAGGATAGTGGAGTTTGGAAAATACCTGTTCAATTATAGTGCATTCTTCCTCAAGGAACTCGTTGCTGCAGATTCTGAGTGCACGCAGGAAGAAGCCTATAATTACACCACGTTTGGTTTTGGTGTCGTGGTGAGAGTAGAAGTGGAGAAGATCGTTTTGGTTGGTGGGTTTTCGATAGACTTTAAAACGAAGTTCGTGGTCAGCTTTGCAGAGTAGAACATCAAGGAAAGGAAGAGTGTTGTCGACCTCTTCTTCAAGTGTGAACTGGATTGAAGGCTCGACCTGGTTGAGCTTGTCTTGGAGAGCTTGAACGTTGAAGCGTTTAGGAGTTATGAGGAGAATGTCGTCAACATAACGGAGCCAGGTGACAGACGAAGGAATAATGGTGGAGAAACGTTCGGCTTCTAGATGTTCCATGTATAGGTTCGCTAGGACTGCACTGAGTGGCGAACCCATGGGTAGTCCAAAAGTCTGCTGAAAGAGGTGATTTTCAAAAGAGAAACACGTAAAGCCAACACATAGTTCAACCAGGTCGATGAAGTCGCTGGCTGGAATGGGAAGATCAAGTGAATCGTCCTCCAAACACGTATTTCAGAACACCAATACGCAAGCAGGTCTGACGACACAAGGAATGCCTGCGTACAACACCGTAATTCACACAACCACTTGATAAACTACAGAAACTCAAGACTTATCGCCACAGAAGACAACACTCAATACCGAAGAATCCTGGAATCATCACTTATTTCTATATCCGACAACTTCAACCAGAATAGTGGCTTCTACAACATAGCTGAACCACTTGCCAAGAAACTTCTTCATCGCTATCCCACATAAGAACACTGTAGAAGGTCTGCTCACAAACTTGTCCAGTCTCCTTTCCAAGCTACCCAAGTTTTTAGACTCTACAACCCAACTCGGTACATCATCAGATGCAGCATTCTTCACCTGACCTCAGCTGGACTATAAATACTCGCGTTCCTTCCACCCCAGGTAGTTCTGTTTGTGACTTGAAAAAGCCCACTGTGTGGGCGAAACGTAGTCAATAAAGGATCACATTATACTGCATTTGTGTTTATATTGCCATTGTGTCGGTATTTTATACCATTTATTTCCAAGTTCAATACACTAGACGAAGAATTAATAAAGTTAAACACTATATCCGGCCCTACCTATCTGGAGTCTACCTAGAGAGTATTCAGAGGGTCAGCGCCCCCTCGGCCTGGTCCCGACCCAGGCCTCAGGGGATGGCTTGATCAAGTAGGCAATTGGTGCTAACCCCACGAAGAGTAAGTAAACGCCACAGCCGGCTGATCAGGAACTGACGAAATTTTTTTCCAGTTATCTCTAATTAAGACAGCCAGGGGTCTATTGGTAATCCCCCTTATAAAAACGTGTGAAGGGAAGTTATTGAAAAGTCATGGTTCCTTCACACTTATTGAGTTTCCCCTTAGTGTACTCATTGCACCCTTGCTTTTCTTTGGGAGGTATTTTTTGCACCGTCTGCCAAGCCTCTTTCTTTCCTGAGGAATGATTCGTGTGCAGATTTGGGACCACTCCTGGAATTTTTCATGTGTAGATTATGATGCATCTTTTACGTCTACATTCCAAAGAGTACAGATTTAGTCTATGTGGGCAGGAAAGTTTTCTGCATATTATCAAAGTCTGCAATTTCGCCTGCCTTGAAAGGAGCTGTTAGAGTACATTACTCCAACCTAGAGAAAACAAGGTAGTGACACTGTTGTGATCTCCCAGTGATATCTGACAAAATCACTCCCAGGTCTCTCACATTAGTCTTATGCTCTGTTGAGTGATTCAAGTTTGTTTTATACTCCGTTCCAGTCTTTGTTTCTTAAGTCTTTCCATAACGAAGTAACTGAAACTTATCCTCATTGAGTATCATGTTGTCAGTGACTTTGGAAAGACTGTTATATCAACTGGAGGTTACGGGTGTCCTCAGTGGATATCACTCAAAATACAGATTAAAAGTTCTCTGCTTTATTATTAAATTAGGAAAGCCGCTAAACCGACAAAGGTCTTACAGCAGTTCCTGCAAAAAGGTGATACGATGCTATGATAATGTCTGTTTATGTCGATTGAGAAAGGCGGGTGCAAATACGGTCTGTATTTGGGAACACAGCTGTTCACTATGGGCCCTTTTGATTTCACTCTGCTTATTTTGGGTTCTATTCGTTAAAAAAGAATTCCCCCCGTCCAAATTTTCCAGTTATTCCTTTTGCACAAATTTGTGTGGCCCCTTTGGTGACCGCCTTGCAAAAGGTTTCGCATGGTTGTGTATACTCCCCCTGCATTTTGCTTTCCCCTGGAGACCATAAATAAGCCAAACCGGCAGGTTAGAGACAGGACCTAGAGCTATGACTCGATCCCTGCAAACACAACTAGGTGAATAAATGTATGCTTGAAAGATTAAATTAAAGGTAAATTTATAGGTCAAATATCTGGCAAGCTTTAGAACACTAGTGTCCTTAATAAACGCCAAAAATAAAAAATGACTTTAGGAATAGATCACTCTTGCCAACACATTGATGTGTGCGCGGTGTTCACTAGCAACGTTTATTTAATACCCATGTAAAGTATACTTAAGCTCTATTTTCTGAGTATTGTGACGTGCATTTAATAATTTTTTTCTTTTTATTTTATCTATTTTAAAATATTTTAAAAAATTTCATTGGCAACCACTAGTGAGAGAGAGGCAATGAGATATTCCCAGCACCAGTGTCAACGTGAGTGTCGACCGAGTAAGACGTGTGTTGCGGACTTCTCTCGTGGACGATGGTGTGTTGTTGAGTATTTAATATTATAAGGCTCACTTGTTTTACAATTTAATATTCTTGTCTTCTCCAAGAATAATTACAAGCAGTAATAAAAACTTACCTGCTTGTGGTATCCAGGAATTATTCTTTACACAACTGACGGAAGTGTTTACTTTGAGTGAGCATTAATGTTTCAGATAAATGATAATAACAAAGAGGATATATTGTAAGTGTATCACAAGAAAGCAACGGGAAGAAGTCTGGTGAAGCATCAGCTTAGTGAGGACGTCAGCTTACTCTACAGTGAATGAGAAATTTCTACATATGTAAGGTTTATTTGAAGATTAATTATACCATCAATTATTATATTATTAATTATCATGTTAAGTACACGAGTATAACATTTTTAGTTTATGTTGAAAGGCTCATTGTGGTTTGTCGATTTGATGTGAATATAATAATAAAAATATGCTTTAAATGCTTCCTGTTCTAAAACAATTAGGTTTAACAAATGATCTCTTATAGAGATGCTTTATCTGTTAATGATGAAAAAGTTATAGGATTTACTTTTTTCCAGGAATTATTTTAAAATTATTCGTTTGAATAGACTTGGATGAATGTTTAGTAACCTTACGTAGGTCATATGATGCTTCATAACACAAGGATTATTGACGTGTTTTGGGGTATTATTTCTTTTTACATTATTTTAAATGACATCTTAACGATATATATTATTTACTTAAAGCTTGTTAATTTTATTATAAAGTTGATTTTTTTCCTTGGTGTGATTATTATAATCATGGGGAAACGATAAACCCATAGGGGTAATTCAGCTCCTGGGGATTAGGAGGCAATTAAGTTTGATCAGGAGAAGGGAAGCTCCAGTTCCTAGGATCAAGCGTCCCTCAGCATTAAGAGACACCTGGAAAGATGATAGTGTAAGCTATATGAATAAAGTCTTGCCATGCTTGTCTCTCGCTGGTCAGGAATTCGTCTTGTAGTTAATAACTTCAAATGTTATTACCAAGTTATTCATTTATATATAGAAGGAAATTAAATGATTGAAAGACAGTTTTTAAGTATACATACAAGTCATATATATACATGTGACAAATTAAGGAATATTTGTATGAAAAAATGGTGAACTTTTAGAAGAAAAGAAGCTTAAACTAAAAACTCTCTTGATAACGCGTTGATGTTTTGTACCATTAATATACGTATCACCATTTTGTGTCTTTATTTAATGTTTATGTAAAATGTACACGTTAGTCATTTTCTGCTGTTCGTTTTTATAAAGAATATAAATTTATCATTATTCGGCAACCACTAGTGAGGGAGAGGCAATAAGAACTATTATAATTCAACGCCAGTGTCAACCCGCTGGTCAGCAGAGTGAGATGTGTGTTGTCGACTTCTCTCGAAACGACGTAAATTTTTGGTGTATTTAGTAACTCGCATATGGAACTAGTATTATATTTGACTCATTATACAAAATAATTAAAAAAAAAGTAACTACTTATAGTTTCCAGTTCGCTTTTACACAGCGCACCGTGATACATGTGTAAGGCAGAGTGGCAACTCCTTTAGTCATTATACAGGGTAATATTGACATGAACATTCTTAGGTGTGATATTTCAATAATTGCGAGAAGCTGTAATGGAACCTAGAAAGGATTCTAACAAGAAACATCTGGGAACACATCTGGATCATTAGCCTAGAGAAGCAGCACCGATTTCATTACAATTTTTCGGTACGTAACCATGATGCTAATGAAGGGCTCTTCATCCAAGAAATTGGAGCTACATTCCTCATTCTGAGATCACCTAATAATCCCCATCCCTTCCTAACCGGTCTTGTTTCTTCTTGATTATAATAATAATTTCTTATGTAAGACTTGCTTTCAAAATAAATGTATAATACCACGCTATGTATTTTTTTTATTAACACAGCCGTCTCCCACCAAGGTAGGGTGGCTCGGAAAAAAAAAAAAAACTTTCATCATTCACTCCATCACTGTCTTGTCAGAGGCATGCGTACACTACAGTTATAATGCTGCAATAGTTTTATAGCTGCACAGTACTCCCATCTCCAGGAATCAAGTCTAGCCTGACGATTTCTCTGAATCGCTTCATAAATGTTACCTTGCTCATACTCCAACAGCACGTTAAGTCCTAAAAACCATTTGCTCCTAACACGCTCATGCACGCTTGCTGGAAGTCCAAGCCCCTCGCGCACAAAACCTCCTTTACCCTCTCCCTTCAGCCTTGCTCTCCGTCTTACTGTAAGTACATGCGATTAAATAAACTTTTATGTTGAATAATCCATTGAATTGGCAATATATATATATATATAATTATATATATATATAATATATTTTATATATATATATATATATATATATATATATATATATATATATATATATATTTATTTTTATATATATATATATTAATTGTGCCCACAAAACGAGTGGTATTGATCAATAACACTGCACTACCAAAGGGACTCGAACCCATGCTACTTTGGCCTACCTACCGCCTACCTCATGGTAGGTAGGCCAAAGCAGCATGGGTTCGAATCCTTGGCTAGTGCAGTATTGTTATTAAGATTATATATATATTATATATATATATATTATATATATATATATATATTATATATATATAATATATTTTATATATATATATAATGGGGAAGAGAGAATCTTTGATAAATACATTTCCTTAATAAACAAGGAGGTTTCCAGTAAACAAAATGCTTTTGATTATAAAGGTTTTGTTTTATCAAATTATTCAACAAAAACGGACTTATAAAAAATAATTTCCAGCATAATATTAACAGAATTGATGACTCTTGAATATAGAGTGAAATATTTTTTACGAATTTAAATGCATTATGACTTAGGCATTATTGCAGTAGTTGATTTTTCTTTTATTGAAGAATTTGTGAAAATTATTTTATTTTTCGATCGACGTATTTTGCCAGGCTGTCCAGTGACTTCAACGTGATTCCTGTTGTATCATAAATATTCATAATATACAGGGAACAAATGATTTAAAGATTCTTTTATTAGTAAAATTTGCATCATATATCTGTCAAATGCATAAACACTCGCAGTCAGTTAATGAGGTAATAAAACATATATTTACCCCACCAGTTTAATAAAAATAATTTGACCTGTCAGTCTTGGCAGGTTAAAGACCAAATAAACTCGCAGGAAAGGCTTTCAGTTTTTTTCAGTACATTTATATTTCAACAAATCTTGCAGGATAAATTTTGATAGGCAAATTTGTTTGCGATGTATCCCTCCAGATGCGATATTTTAATTACAATTAATTCGGACCTTTAACTGGATAATGTAATTTTAACTAAAATGGAAGTGACGTGACCAAAGTTTTTAATGGTAATAAATATAACACTTGCAAAATTAATAATAGGCATTTATTATTGTGACAATAATGTGACTCATTGTTGCTAGGCTGTTCGCACCCCTCACAGTGTTGCTAGGCTCAATCCATTCCTCTTATAGTGTTGCTAGCTCAGCACACACTCATTGTTGCTAGGCTCAACACACTTCTCTCATATTGTTCTTAGGTTCGCCACATTCCTCTCATAGTGTTACTAGGCTCGACACATTCCTCTCTGTTGCTAGGTCAACACACTCGCTCTCATTGTTGCTAGGCTCGACACACTTTCATAGTGTTGCTAGGCTCGACACACTTTCATAGTGTTGCTAGGCTCGACACATTCCTCTCAGTATTGGTAGCTCAACACACTCCTCTCATTGTTGCTATGCTCGACACACTCCTCTTATAGTGTTGCTAGGCTCGACACATTCCTCTCAGTGCTGCTAGCTTAACACACTCCTCTCATTGTTGCTAAGCTCGACACACTCCCCTCATAGTGTTGCTAGCTCAACACACTCCTCTCACAGTGTTTCCGTGCTCGATACATTTCTGTCATAGTATTGCTATATTAGACACTACTGTCACTCTTGCCATGCTCGACACACTCCTGTCCTAGTATTGCCATGCTCCTCTCCTAGTGTTGCCATGCTCGACATACCCCCATCCTAGTGTTGCCATGCTCGACACACTCCTGTCCTAGTGTTGCCATGCTCGACACTTGTCATAGTAATGCCATGCTCGACACACCCCTGTCCTATTGTTGCCATGCTCGACACACCTGTCCTAGTGTTGCCATGCTCGACACACGCACGTGATGTAGTGCATCTAGATTCGACATACCTGTGCCCCAATGTAGCCAGACGTCTGTCCTGGTGTTGCCATGCTCGACACGCACGTGATGCAGTGCATCTAGATTAGACATACCTGTGCCTCACTGTAGCCAGACTACATATCTGTGCCCCAATGTAGCCAGACTACATATCTGTGCCCCAATGTAGCCAGACTACATATCTGTGCACCAGTATAGCCACGCTCGACACACCTGTGCCCCCAGTATAGTCAGACTCGATACACCTGTGCCCCAGTATTGCCAGACTCGACACCCGCTTGCTCTGGCAACACGGGAAATTGCAATTTGTACCTTTTATTTGTTTTTACAGGGGACAAAGATAAAAAATAGTGAAGCGTATTGCATTCACTGGCGTCATGTCTGCCTTCAGTGTTTACCATGTCTTCTTTATTGTCCCCCTCCCTCTCCGTCCCCTCCTCTCTCTTCCTCTCTGCCTCCCTCCCTCCCTTCCCTCCACACCAGCTCCCCCTCCTTGTACGTCCATCCCATCTCTCTACGTCCCATCTTCCTATTCCACTTCCCTCTTGGTTGATGGCTTATTCAGAAAGCTGTTGGTGCTGGCCACAGTCCTCTTAAGACAGCCAGGGAAGATGTTGAGGAGCCTTGGTCCCTTTACACTTACTGAGTATCTCATACTGTACTCATTGCATCCTATTTTTATTGGGGTATTTTCCATTTCTGTCAAGCCTCTTGTTTTCGTATTGAGTGATTTTGATGTGTATGTTTGGGATCTATCAATCCAGAATTTTGCAGGTGTGAATTACAATGTGGCTTTCTCGCTTATATCGAGAGAAATAAGCGTTCCAAAATTTAAGTACCGGACTGAATTTATCTGAAGATTCTGCTTTATTCTTTTTTGAAAGTTCTAGTTATCTAACCCATCATTTTCTTGGCGGTTGTGATAACATAGTTGTGATCCTTGAATGATAGATACTCTGCATGATACTCTGACATTATCGCTTCTAAGTCCCTCACAGTAATCTTACGCTCAAGTGACCTGAGGTAGTTTTAACTGTTGCTGCTTATTTTAACCTGGTAGGATTCATGTCAGTAGTTTTTTATTAATTTC